GAGTGTTGCTGAAGGAGGAGTGAAAGGCAGTGAGGGGAAAAAAGTCACATCAGTCAACCTACAACACAGAAAATAAAAAAGCTAATTTAGCCCAACTAATTGAGGAAGGGAGTAGGAATTAGAAAGATATGTATTTTACCCCAGACTTTTGAAAACCAGTTGAAGGGCTGTAACATGTTCAGCAGATCTTAATTTCCTTACCTATAAAATGGGTTCAAATATTTCCCTTGTATTGCAAATGGGTAAGTTAATGAAGCTCTTTGAAAATGCGATAATCATAGTGGGGCTTTTTTCTACTTCTCTATTAGCTTTTATCATCCAATATTTTATTCGAATACTTTACAAAATTAAAATACAGTGTGCTTAGCAAAACAATAGCATTCACTTCTCCCGGTAAAGCAATGCATCTAATTTTGCTCCAGTTTCAAACCTTAGTTGGAAGCATGGAAGTCAGAAGTTTAGATAAGACTATTCAGATGGGAGCTTGGAGGGCTGAGATCGTTCTGTTTACAAGAACAGTGGTTGCTTTAGATATTACGAATGAAGCTTGTTTAAACATGCATGCTATTTAAAAAAAAAACTAAATCAGACTTTCATAAAATTGTCAACTTTATAAAAAGTTTTAAATTTAAGAAAGTTGCCCAAATGTTCTTCTCAGGAGAAATATTCAGTGCCCACCTCTCAAAATTAATGAAGGACTAATGGATCTTGAAAAAAAGAAAAAAAACCCTGGTGAAAATAAATAAAAAGTCTGTTCACTGGTATTTTACTTCCTCTCCATGATGATATTTTAACTACAGGATATTTGTTGGATAAGTGAACATTAATTCCTCCTACATAGTCTATGAGATGAGTATAAAAAGAGTATTGAAATCTATCTCTAGAAACAGGCAGCTGTCACCACTGTGATGGAAGGTACTCAGGAGGAAGCAGCCATGTGCTGACTCTAACACACATGTCCATCTGTGGGGTATGTCCGCACTGCATTTATGAAAAGCAGACCTGCCCTGGGGCTGAAAGCACCTTCCCTGCCAGCTGAAGAGATCTGCGCTAGCGTTAAATTAGTTTGCTTGGGTATCAGCCGCTGCAGTAGAACTGACCCAGCAGAAGTAAATCAAGCTTTCCAACCATACTGACTACCTACAAGGGGAAAAATTCCAAAACAGATCTCCAGACCAGAAGCTGTCTTTTTATCAGACTAGATGTTACAAAGCTCTGGTGATGTCAGGGCAAAAGGAGCGAAAGCTTCACTGAATTGACTAGCATTACTTTTGCTTTTATTACCCTTTGCCTCCTTCAGAGCCTTCTAGGACAGAAGTCCCCCTCTCCCCATGTCTATCTAATAGAGTTGAGCATTGAATGGATGATATTTTATCTAAAAATGGCAACAACAATTCAGGTTCCAAATGGAAAGCATTTTTTTTTTTTGCAGCTGTTCTACTTAGTGCATTACTATCTTAACATTGTTTTCCCCTAGTTATACAAAAAATGATCATATGCTTTTAGGGGCTAAACAGGTTAACACAACAGTTTTCATTAAAGTGCAAGGTAGAAGTGGATTGAACCCTTTCAGCTTATTTTATGTGCCCAGAATCTAATAGCTTTCTACGATGACATGACTGGCTAGGTAGACGAAGGGAGAGCCGTGGATGTTGTCTACCTGGACTTCAGCAAGGCTTTCGACACAGTCTCCCATGATATCCTCCTAGGGAAGCTCAGGAAGTATGGGCTGGATGAGTGGTCGGTGAAGTGGATAGAGAACTGGCTGAATGGCAGAACTCAGAGGGTTGTCATCAGCGGCGCTGAGTCTAGTTGGAGGCTGGT